AGAGCTTGGGTAATTTTCAGATTCTCCCAAATGCCTGAGCGAAGCTTTCATAATTTCCAAGTTACCCATTGATTCAATTAGGAGGAAAAGAGAAAGTGAATTGTTTGTCAAAACAAATATCCAAGAATACAGATTCCTACGCTGTGTGCTAGGAGTTGAGATAAAGCAACAATTTGATTATCCTTGTTTCATGCTGTGGAACTTCCAGAATTTTACAATCGTAGTATGCATTTTTGCTTCACAAAGTTACTACCGGTTGCAGTTTTAAATTACTTTTTTCCCGCAGTTGAGGGAAACCAACCAATGAAGACCCCGTTCTGACAGCTTTGCACATAGCATCATTATCAACGACTCATCTTTGTTTGCATCGGAATGTTTTACGTCAACTTTCCAACTACGAATTAGCTGTCTAGTGCTTCCACCCTCACTAGCAAATTTGCTGAGAAACATATTGCAGCTTCTTTGTCATTGCAGAAACTGTTCATTTTTGTGTTCATTCTCCGAGGAGAAGTATATCTCGTGTCTTGTCTGGCAAATAAGCGCTCCTAGCCCTACCCAGTTAAGCCTAATAAATGATGGCATTTTTGGTATTTTCATTTTGCCTGTTATACATGAATGGTGCCCCAATTCAGTAAAGGGTTGGGGTCGAGTTGAATGCTGCGGAATGCGGAGATGACCGTCTGTGACAAGGTTTAAATCTGTCCTCCGTGCTTGAGATTCTTGATGACGATCTTTCAACTGTTTCACGCTTTTACGTTTGATAAGTGTTGAAAACCTCTTCGCATGATTTTTCTCACTTGAAAAATGTTAGTGCAACAATCTCAGCCAGGATCATTTCAATAATGATTCCGAATCCTCATTGAATCGACGGGGACTAAGTACTGAAGATTATCTAAATTCCTTCTCAATATCCTATTTTGCTTTGCAAATATTTAGCTCCTAATAAAATCCTTCACACTTATGGCAATGATTCTGCTATTTTCTTTCCAAGTAGACCGCCGTAAGTCAACTCACGTGCTTGCTACCTTCATCTCAGATTAAAACATACGTCACTTCTGTACTGGTTTGTTGCTATTTCCTGTGGCACATATTTTATTACATCATCGCCTGTGATGGCAATAGACGGGGTTCATTCCATAGCACGAAAAGTTCACTGCACTATCAGAAATAGCCAGCTATCAGATCCGGAAAACTGGAGAGGAGACCCATATAAGATCCCAATAGGTTAGGTGTGATTATTGAATCGAAAGACACTGGATTACTATCTGTCGCCAAAGTAACCGGCGGTGGCAGGGCTCAAACCTCTAACCTGAACGGTGGAAGAGTAAAGCAGACAAGCACTCCACCACTGGTTATACGCAGATAATATCGTGCAATAGTTTACTTCTGCAGCCCGAAGTGGGATGGTGCGAAAAAGGAAATATTTAGTCAAAACCGATCAACAAAACTCATAAAGAAGAATAAACTCTGCGCAGAATGAGCAGTACTCAGAAATTTGGGACAGTCTGTTCTTAAGTCGAAAAAGTGCACTCATTTCAGTCCGGTTTTGATTCATGTGTTGATTTGAACGCCTCCAATATATGCTCAAATAATCCAGCTCTTACTGACTGATTTGCAGATGAATTCAAATTCATTGTCTGTATCGAATTCAATGCAATGTTCTGAAACGAACACCTAAGAAAACAAGGCTGACAGCCCTGTTGTTTCTTTGATAGTATTCTCAGGGACTGAATTCTCTTCAGATATCCCTTAGAGCGCTGATTGGGGGTCAAACTGTGCATAGAAAACTCGATTTTCTTGAAATGTACTTGACTTACTTGTAAAAGCGATGACTAACCATGATTTGGAGGAATTTTAGAAACATATGTTACTGATTTTTAGGCAATGTGTATGAAAAAGTTGTAACGGATAAATTTAAGACATGAAGAGATTCTGGTGTATAAACAAATTCGTCTTATCAATGGAAAATCGTATTAGCAGAATAACGGTCCTCAAAAATTAGGAACCGGAAAATATCACCAACTTTTGTCATTTTATTCTGTATGCCATACCTTGTAAATCTGCTAACCTAATTTCAGATCAATACATGCCTTTTTAATGAGAATAAGTAAACTTTATTTCTTCAGGTGGCTGGCCCAGAACGAAAACATATATACAATGGTTGCTTTTTACCCAATCCGCAACAATTCATTTTCTGTAAAGAATTGCGTCCAGAAAGATCTTGGCCGAAAATAATAACGTTTAAGTGGATTCTCGGATTTCCATGAAAGTGGCTTACCGTGACGTAATCCTTATCTCCACCAGATATCATTACTGAAAGTTTATTGGTATTTATTCGCTACGTCACCGAGGCAATAGTCTTCTGCATTCATGTAATTCCCTCATGTGTACCGAGTCACCGATGATAAAAATAATAAACTGCTTTAAAAACAACCTAAGCAGGCGTCTTATTTCCATTTGCTTCATAATGAAACAAGTGATAGAGTTTATTTTTCTAATTTTTGAAACCCAGATAATTTGAATGTTTGTCGTAAACTTATGCACGCACAAAGCATATATTAGTTTTCTTTATGAAACACCTCTGGTCAGAGATCGAGTATGCCTGAGATTTATGGTTTTTCTCAGGAAGGAAGGAGAACGTAAAAGTGCGATAGTATCGGTCATTTGTTTACATCACACGTGATCCGCTTCTGAAGGAATAAAATGTCGGATCAGAGAATGCAGGAAATTTCTTCCGGTCAGGTGTTTTTCAGTAGCACTAAATTTAGTGTGTTTGGTTCCTACAATTGTAACTGTCACTGTTGAACCATATATACGTACATAACATGAACAGAATAGAATGAATTCAATTGCTTGTTTCTCAGTATAGATTTGCAAAGCGTCCTTGGACGAGAGTATTCATCTTAAAATCACTAGGCTTAGTCGAAACTAGCCTCCAGAGGGGTTGTATTAGGTGTATTTAGATCTGGACGGGCACGAAATGCCGAGAAAAGCGGTAGTTCAAAACGTTCCCATGAGTTGCAGTGGGGAACCATATCCTACAAACAACTGACCTAGGTTGCATCCGTAGACTGCTATACTACGACATTTTTAATGATGAAAGGACATATCGGAGTAAACTCAGTCGATCTTGTGATATGTTCATAACTGAAATTAAACTATCAAATACAGGTAATCCATCCACCTGTTGTTACTCTTTTACAACTAGTCAAGGATTGCCCTTTTTCGAATCTCTGGGTGACCATATATATATATATATATATATATATATATATATATATATATATATATATATATATATATATATATATATATATATATATATATATGTACGAAACTCAACACACTTATCCCGTTTAGCGAGGCAGGAAGAAGACGGCATTTATGTGTGTCGTATAAGTGGGAAAGAGTAAACTGTATTCGCCTTCCATCAGAATATTTTCATTAGGTTTAATAATTTTGTATAGTAACGAAGCAAATACTTTCACTGTAAAATGATTTAAAGGTAAGTATTTTTGGCAAGGCAAACTCATCGATAATCTTGAGGGACAAAGTGCGATTCAGTAATAACTGTTCAATCCATGAGATGTGGCTAAAGCTTATTGGCTATCTGACGATTCGTAACAGATGACACAGTTGTACTCAAAATAATCATCAAACGACGCAACAGCTTTAGCAACAGCACCGAACATTTGGGATTGACCTAGTGACGTCCGATGATTAATACGCCTAAACAGCACCCAGTATTATTTGCACTCCGGCTGTCCACAGGGGACCTCACTATGGATGTGCTGAATAAATCAGAAAAGCCGTGTAAGCAGGATTTTATGTTGAACTGGCTGTGGTCCGTCGGTCACTGAGGTTTACTGTAGCTCCTTCTATCTCCGATTAGAATCCTATCAAAGATGTCGGTTACTTTTCCGAAATGGCAGCCTCTAACTGGACATGAAGCTCTTGCTGAGAAATTGTACCTCCACTATTATCGAAAGATAATATGACATCAGGTCATGCTGATATTGCGTGATGTAACGTCCATGGAATTGTTCGTATGACGCACTGGTAGACTGTAATTAGTCTGTTAGAAATGTACCAAAAATGCTTGGCGATTTCACAATTCACACACAAGAGAATTCCCACAGTGCCATATTTTTGTACTTTGGGCTTAAATACACAACAGTATCAACAGAATTTAACAACAAATCGCTTTTTGGGGAAAAGAATTCGAATCTGGAACACAATTGAAGGCACCGTGTGTTCCGCAATTAGTGCTCTGCATCTCGACTAGCGGCTGATACAGGAAAAACTCCGCGGTTTTATCTCAGTATATATTTGTTGAAAAGATATTCACGTTATGCTCAATTCTAGAAGCTAATCAATCTCATAATCTCATCTGCTGCTTTCGCTCACAGTATTAAAAAAATGCGCTTTTTTCACAGAAGCTGAATTACAGAACAAGATGTCAAGACAATTATAAAACTAGATCATCGCAGTCGCTTGGTTGGATCACAACGCGATAGCTTAGTGACACCGGTAACAGCCTAAAAAAGGGTATCCGTAAATCGTCATTACCAGTTGGGCCGTTGTGATTTGTGGGGTGATTTTATTATTACTGAAATCGCCACCGGATAGAGCGATCAGGAACTTAACTGCAACCTCGTGGGTTTTGCTCTACATAGCGTCGTTTTCTTTGTATGAAGAGTTGAATTTAAATGGCCAGAGGCTGGAATGAAACATCTTTGACGCTGAAGAAGGTGTGTAAGTTAAAATCAATGAGCCAAAACTAGAAAGTCCATTGTCGATGCAAAATATTTTACTTATTGTTAGAATTTTTACTTAGGCATCTGAGCACTTACCATTTAGTGGTGAACCGGACCGAAATAATTTTGGCCACCATTGACATAACCATCAGGAATGACACCTGAAATAATTCGTCTTTACTTTATGAATCTTGGCAATTCTTCGTATAAGAAGACCGTGGACTGCGTCACACATTCCGAACTTCATATTTGCTTTCCAGTTTTGGTAGAAACTTCAGGCTGAGGTAAGATCGGGTGTAAAAGATAGAAAAGATATATAATGACTACCATGCACAAACAGGTACACCGTGCTTAAACAGTTGGAAATAAATCTTTGAAACAAGTATACCGAACTGATCTACATCCGGAAAAGAATCAACTATATCCACTAGGTGGGAAGGAGTAGAGTAATGATCTGCCAAAACCGGTGCAAAATAAATTGAATTTTGGTCTTCGTCTCACCGTCTCGTTCGTATGGAGTACTTCTTCCGGTGATGCATGTCATTAGAGTTCTCCTACATTGCTACAGAGAAATAAATGTGGTTGCTGGAGACTTCTTTCCAGTTTCATTCCCCATTACAAGGTATGTTTGCTTTGAGTATTCAGCACGACAATTAATTCGAACTTTATTCCCAACAAAATCGAAAATAAAGCAAGTTTTTAACCGTCATATTTATCAGTGCAAACGTGAATCCGTTTTCGACTTAATCAGTAATAAGGCCTCTATATTTGCGTAAGATATCTCATATTATCTGTTCTAATTTTCCGATGATAAAGAATATACAGTGTTTGTATAAAATACACGGTAGCATGAGAAACTAATCAGACAAATATCTCCTTCTTCGAAATACCTATGCTTTTGTTTACCCATTTTCCAATATTTTTGTACCCGTAAGAGGCTGTGCACAAAAGAGAAATTAAGAACGACCGTGCGGCAACCGGGAAGTTTTATTCCGGATGTAGTTAGCTGCAATGAGTATAAATCCCTACGAATCAATAAGAAACCCTGTCAATACATGTGGTAATGGACTACGGTCATTGAGAATCAGGGCCGGAGTGCACGCAATCTCAGAGTGCGTGATACCATGGATACAAGACAGTGAATAGTGCATCGATCGAACGTGTATCCAAAACCGTTGACTGTTCCGAGCATCATTGAATAACATTTTATTTTTACGACGCGTATTATTTTGAATTTCGTTTACTTTAACTGTCCCCAGTTTTATGATAGTGATACGGCTTCCATGAGGCAACATTTGGTACGGAAAAAAGCACTGCTGTAGTCACAAAAATGTCTTCACATTGATAATGCATAAATGTAACTGGTTGTTGGCCAGCTTCTTCGAATCCTAGAGCCTCATAGGGGCTTTCCACTTGGAAGCAAACCAAAGCCATTTTTAGATATCAGTTACCACATAACCCATTACGCCACGTTACTCACCATTATTCGGATATATTCCCGTTATTACTGAGGCTTAAACGATCGGTTTTCCAAGAGGAATACTTTTAGAATCGTCTTCGTCGAAGTCTTTCTATTTGTTTTTGAATCTGATGAAAAGTGCTCAGCTTTTTGCGGAATGAAGCTTATGATCCGACTTCATGTCTAACAACCATCTACCTAAGAGGTCAGCCTATTGACTAGTTGTTAGCAGAATGTTTGTTCTTTTTCCAATCGGGAAACTAAAAACATGTTGACTGATAAAACCTAGGCTCATCATAACAAGTATCAGACTAAAACGGCTTTGAATTTTAGAAATTCGGACATTTTACTAGCGGCTGTTCTATTTCTTTATCCATTTTCTGTATGTAACAAAGGTTATCTGTTGTGCTTGCAGCCTGTCACTTAAAGAAAATTTCTTGAAAAATAGTTCCAAGCCTCTAAGGTTTTTAGTTCTTCAACGACTGATCTAGCGATCTTGGTTTTCTGAAAAAAGAGGAAATCCTACATCTTGACGAATCCTAGTGCAATGAAAGTTGATGAGCCTTCCATGACCTGAAACAGCTTATAATCCTATTATCCAACGGTGAGAATACCCCTAGAGAAATATCCGTGGCTATCGTGAAAACCAGTTCACGTGAGTTCTCCGATATTTCCCATTTTCCCGATATCCCAAGCTTTTTTCTTGGATTTCGCAAACCCAGAAAACTCTTTGTAGTATAATAGTAACTGTTCCTCTTTTTTCACTTAGAAAATATTATTCATGACTCTGTTCATTCATTAATCTTCTCACTATTTCTTTACTACCATCAATCCGGTATCCCAGAACTAAGAACCCGTGATGCAGAAAACACTTTTAATTTACCATTTTGTCCTCCAAATTGTTCATGTTTTTGTCTAGCGTCAGAATTCCCATCGGTCCAACATACAAATAATTATTTCCCATCAGAAAATGTTTTTAACGGACGTCTGTAGATTCGGAACGTCAGGCAAACTCTAAATCCAACTCCATATGTAAAAGTCTAAATAAAAGGCCTTCGCTAATTTTGTTTTCAAAAGACAAATGATAAGACATCCAACAGGCTGGTTGGTTTGGGCCGTGAAGTGAAGGTTTAAGGTCACACATTTGTTCCTGAGGGTATCGAGCATTCTTTTAACCACTAGTCCTAATTGAACGTGTTTCTTTAGCTAATAAAGTAGATTTTTCATTAGTGGTCAGTCGAACTGTGAGAAAAAAGCTTCCAAAGGTCAGGGAATTTTTCCGTGCTGGCTTAAATGAAAGTAAACAAGAATAAATGGAGGTAGCCTCACTAAGTAGCTAGAATCCACAAAGTGAATGTATCAGTCGCTCTCGAGATCCATCTCTCTATGTCTATCGGTCAGGGATAGCACGGCACTTATCAGCACTCATTTCTCGAAGCATGTATTGGAAGCACATGCATTATTGTTCCTAGTTTTTTCCTTCTTCGTGCCCCAAACTCATTTATTTTTATTGTCCACTTCACAAGCATCTGCATGGAATCCTTAGATGCTAACTGTTTTATCGATGTGCAAACGTTTGGTACATCACCGGTCAGTGTTTCTTCGCTCGTCCAAACCCCATGGAAAAGTATCTACGAACAAAGTGCGGAAACTGTTTTCTGAAGTAACCAAAAACCAATTCTTTATATAGCATGAGACAAGGAATAGATGGACACATACGGCGCTGTTATTGATTGTCTAGTGCGATGCACAGATGTGACTGGTTAAGTCGGACCACAGTATGTCATAAGTCTGACTGGTTAGCGGGCTGGTATGAAGAGTAGGCAGTAGGTTGTCTGTCAGTAGACAGTGCGAACAGCGACGTGTGACTGACCGGTCGGTTCATGGGCACACGCATCGAAACTGCACTGCAACGTCGGATACGCCAGCCTTGTCATGGTTAAGCGTTCACAAAGCGCGTTCTTCGCGGACTGGAAGGATGCTGACTGCAGCCTCGCAAAAGACGTGTTTTTCAGGTGGGTTTCCGACTCCCTGACACTGACAGTAGACCCAACTACTCCTCTGCCAATCACCGAGCGTTCTCACTCCTTTGAATAGCCCAGTATTCCTTTCACTACCTGCGCAAAATGGCAGAGTGAGTTTCAAAACCCCTGGGTTGCCCTCAAACGTGATTTTTCTCTTCATGTGGGAAAATTTCATTGAACTTCAATCAATAAAATTTCTGTTTTGTTTGTTCTTGTCTCATTGTAAACAACTGATAGAGTGAAAAGTTAAAGTGTACAATGCCCACTATTTTCCCTTTGTTTTCTCTTCATTTAGTCGATGGGGCCAGGTAGATATCACGCTTGCGTGATGCACACAGACTGGTCTGGCGATATCGAACGGAGCACGCGAGATACATGGAGTACTGGTACGGCAGCTGAGTTGAAACAAAAGCAAGATTTTTCTGGAGATACTACGCTCAGCTGGTCTCAGTATTTGGGGATGCAAAGAATGACCCACTTTTATCTACTTATCTAGAGACAAAACAGTGATGGAAGTTTAAATCAGATATCAAATATCTTGATCGCACCCCTTGTGGTGAGCAATACTTTCAAAGAAGAACAACTTGAGCTTTTCGATGCAGATAATCGAGAACCTTTATACAAACTGCCCAATCGTACGGTTTTCTCACTTGATCATTTGGGTTTTCTAGGATGTCTCATATACGATAGAATGAGTCAAAATTAAACATAAAAAAATTAAATAACAAACCGAAAAACATTGAAGCACCGCAAATCTGTGGTATCTAACTTGTTCAGAATTGTCATCATTGCATTTCATCAGACTATCAAGTGATACTTGAATACGGCAAGTTTTACGGGTTAGCTTTCTGTAGTTTGCATCAGCTTAGCACCTGAGTATATACAGCTTTCATTCACGATTAATTCTGGGTTTGCCAATTCGAACTTTTGGGATAATATTGTGTCATACAACCTCAACTGAGCAGAGTTTCATTGCGTGATTTTATTATCTTGTGAGTAAAGAGTTCTATAAGTATAACTGACCGGTGATTGATGAGCTTTATCTACTACGACAATAAACTAGTAAATCGTATAACCATTTCGTAAGTGCAAACTATAGAAAACGTCTGTCTCATTATTTTTGACAGCCTGCAATGGTGCACGCTGTTGTCAGACAGATCGTCATCTGCCAACTGTCTTTCTAAGCAACGGTATTTGAGATCTCATCCACACATGCAATCCAAAATGACGTAGGAAAAGTAAACACCCGCATTCAGAACAGCCTGATGGCAATAGGTCTACAGCTGTCAATCAACCAACATTCGTCCAATGTGCAATCACCAGCCAACGAAATTCCCCTGTCCCCTCCAAAGAGACTTTCCCAAACGAGAACAAGGGCCTTTTTCGGCTAAGACTAGTTTGTTATACCTAACCTCATATCATGCTTTCCTTTGGTCGAGAGAATCTAACTGCATTTCGGAAGCCAGAGAGAAAGCTTGTAATCACAACTACGGCTGGAATTGATTAATTCGGGGTCACAAACATGACCGGTGATAAGTGAAGCAGCTCCATCTGTCTTGAAGTATATTATCTGTGGTCGAGTTATCCTCAAAATTTCCAATAAGATAGACAGACGATTATTTGATAACAAAATCAGCTTGGAAAGAACCAGTGATTTAGTGGCGTATGGCATGCGGACTTCTGTTTTCAATCACATTCATATGAATTGTTCATTCGAGAAAAGTGACTGACTGTTGAAAACAAGTAGCTCGGCACAAGCACTGCCTAGTAAAGGGCTTTATCCACTTGAATTACAAGGGTTCACCATTTTTTATACATTTCATTCGATTTTTACTACATGCTCGAGTCTGCTTGCAGTGGAAGGTGTACATAACCACAAAGACCCGCACCACTTTTAGAGATAAGTGACAACCAGACTCCGAAAATGGGAGTGGAGAACAGCATAAAACGTCAGTACGTCAGGTGTGATAAGGAGCTTTTTCTTCCTTGTTCTAGTGAACAGAATTGTGTGTCGGGCCCAGTTTTGGCTTTCGAAATTCTGTTTTTGGTTAGTGCTCTCAGATAATATGCTTCTGCTGAAGTCAAATTAGATATGAGACATAAACGCTGAATATTTTTCCCGACGCGGGTCAAATGATCATCTACTTGGAATTGAAATAAAGACATTTGGATATGGATTGCTCCCACCGTAGGTCACTTCGTCATTCTGCAGCCCCTGACTGACTACCAATTCCTCCTGGAAAAGCAGTACATTTCCGTAAAATAAATGAAAGTAGTAAAAGGATCACATTCACTTTTACTAAAAAGCGCTTCAAATCCGATTAAATTGTGATGTACCCCGTGTTCTCATCAATATACAATTTATTGCATTGTGGTTATTTCACGACAGGAAAAAAGTCCTTCTTTTGTTTATTTTCTTCCCCAGTAAAAATATCCTTGGGAAATACTGCCCACGCAGACTACCGAAATAAAAGAAATAGCACCACTTGCTTCCGTATCTGTCGGGTTCTAACCAGTATTTGCAGTCGAGCCACACATTTTAGCGGACATTTGGTCTATCAGCTGAGTTTTATATTACTAGCTGTTCAGGGAAGCAAACCTTACCTTCATTAATTCCAGCAGCCTTTTTATGTCTGGAATACAGTTCCCGACAAAGTTTGCGGTTGGTCGTCCATCGACACAAGTTGTAAACCACCGACTGACAGATTGGTTAGCAGAGAAAACTCCTCCGTCACCTGGGTAACAGAACTGCTTTAAAGGTTAGAGCTGCAAATGGCTCTCTTCATCCCAATAATCGGGTTCATGGTTGAAAACTGCCTCCTGTTTAATAAGAAAGCTCTTGCACAACAATAAATAACTGTAAACCAGCTATAAGTTATTCAGGGTTAAAATAATGCTTTTTCCTCAGTACAGTAGAATACGTTATTATCAGTAATAGCAAAAGAAACCCATGGTAGACGCGAAACTCGTCCATTCTTGAAGAATACCACGGTGAATGACTTGCATTCACGGGTAAGATGATATAAGTGGTATTTTCTAACACTGGTGAAAAGATCATATAGTACACCAACTCGTTTTACGTAGGCAAAAATCATCAAAATTGTGTACCTTAATTTACTGGCTTATATATAAATTACATAAATTGGTTACGTTACCATCAGATGGCACACAGTGAATCTGGACAACTTGCTACATGAAAACAGTCTCTTCAAAAGCGACAATTCAGTCATCATATTCGTTCTTTTTCCGCACCTCAATTGCAATAGTATGCTTATGGCCAAACCACTGTAACGTGAGAGTAACCCAATTTTATACGCTCCTGCAGTAAAAGTTAGTGTTGGACCGATTGACAATAAGGTGATTATGCCCCCAGATTTCGAGGTTTGAAATGAATCGATGCTTTTTTCTGACCAAACCAGTAAACATTGACAGGTCATTCGTCTCTCACTGAGATGTTATCTTCACCGCCAGAATCAATGTCAACTCTTCCGTGTACATGTGTTCTCTTAGTTTCTCATGCTGTTGACGGGGAAACAAATGAGAACGAACCACTAAAGCATGACACGGCAACAGTCATTTCTTAGATAAAGGTGCTTTATGTTGGATGTTATTAAATCAAAGCAACTTCTGATAGGTAAAATGTTAGAGCATCAGCTGAGAAAGCAAGTAACTAATATAGTACGCTTTTATTATAATTCTCTATTATCCTAAGTTCAGTAATATATACTCCTGCATAAGCTTTGGGAATTAAATCACTGATCTTTAACCTGTGCAGCCCATGAGGCAAAAACCAATCAATTTCAAATATGACAGATTCCAAACATATCCCACTCAAAAATACCGTACCATTTAAACATACAAATTAACTCAAGTAAGGACTACTACATGCAACCATTCGGAATTCAACAAAACGTTTTCCGTGGGTGACTGTAATTAAGATCGTTTTAGAATCGAAGCCAGTACAGATATTCTAAAACAAGTTTGACATATATGATATGAACTAATTACGGGGATGTATTTTAAATCCGAATTGAATCCACGTTTGGTGATGCAAAGCAGCAGCAAGTACACAAATACAATGATCTCAAGAGGACTATTTTACATTCCGAGTTATTTTACGATTGGGAAACGTTGGCCAATTTCCCCGAAACACCATGTTTGGACATAAATCTGAACAGATACTTATCCCAAAGATGATCTCATAGGTCATTTTGTGAGACGATACATGGAAGTCCGTGACGATGGTGCATGCATAGTCATCACATCAACAATCAGATGGTCGAATGCTTTGGTTGCGTACAAACGAATAATTGTCATAAACTAGGACACGACACATCTCTCACTGTCAAATGCATTAGGTTAAATGTCCTCTAGCTGGTCCTACAGATTTCCAATCTGAACCTAGGTTTTCAATAAGTCTAATTTCTTTGGTGGAACTTTTAAATCGAGACCAAGTGAGGGATTGGCCTCGGCGACCATGACCCTAGTCAGCCGTTGAAATCCGTTTCACGTGAAGCCGCAAAGATACATGCATCGGGAGAACAAATGGGCGACGCTCACAGTGGATTTTAGCACATATTCATCCCCAAGTGACTGATAAAAGTCACGAGGCAAAATACATCCAGAGGCGATCCTGACCGAAATTCAGGACAATCAAAAGCGCACCATTCGAAGATAACCAGACAAAAAGTTAACCCTATTAATTTTTTCAAGCCTTTTCTACACAATATAATTGAGAGCTGTTAGCACGGAGAAACTACTCCAATCGTATTACGAAACCCTCTACGTGGAGCGCAAAAGTTCGGATGCAATGTATTTACTTGATACGGACACATCAATTTATTTAGTGTATGACGTCAAAGCTTCGTGTACGATCGCTCTAGCAGCCAACACAATTTGTGTAAATTTAAGATTGCCCCATGCAAGCGTTTGAGGAAAGTAAATAAAACTGTGTTACACATCGGAAAATTTGACTTCTTGCCATACTGGCCCATTGCATAGGTTTTGGGCAGTTACTTAAGTCAGCTTAGTTTATTTAGCGTTTCTGATCATTGTGGTTGTTCAAGTTTTACTTTTGTAGGAATTTCTTGTTTATGTAACTTACATTTTTTGAAAATTTTAGGTCGAACCAATTTGGGACGTATTTCTTCTCAATTTTTGACCAAACGGAATTTATCAAGTTCAACATCAATCATACTGTAACTCTTACGCAAAAACAAACTGTTTCTTCTTGTAAATTTTGTCGATAGCTTCAGTCGGGTCATGCAAATCTGTTCCTGGGTTTTTTCATGGTACATTATATTGATGGTTTTCCAGGAATAATGTAAAACTTTCGAAAAACCTCGGTTTTTCCCTAAACATTGATCAGACTCAAGCACCCATCATAAACGCATTATTATTTATCTTATCTACAGACTGACTGTTGTTTAAGCGAATGATAAACCCAAGCAAATAATAAAAATACGACAAGATAATCAATGTCGTAAACATTCACTCGCCTGGACCAATGACAGTCCAAAGGATGCAACGGAATAATAATCCCATGGGTATCTGAAAAAAGAAGTTCGCTAACAAATTAGAAAGTGATTATCAAAGGTGATCGATATTCTTCAAGATATGATATTAGCTTGACAAACGATGATCAATTAACACGACACAACAGAAGCTGGTACTTTGATTTGATATCAGAGGAGAACAAAGGACTCTAGTGAAAGTCATTCATTCACACGCTCGACTACACCCTTGAATTTCGAACTTCTGACATTTTGACGCAGCCTAACTCTTCTCAGAATGGACTTTTACGTTGCCTCTATTTGTTATAAGATAGAGTACAAAATTTCAAGAAGGCCATCGCGGCCTATAAAATGCTGCTCAACGGGGAAGTGACCGGGAAAGGTGAAAGTCGAAGCCGGGTTGTTAGTTTCCAAAGTCCACATAGATACCATTCTGACCACCGCCGATACATTGTTAGTTCACCGAAATAAGCCGTGTTGTGAGCAAACAGAGTAAACTTCTGTGTGATGTTTAAATGGCCATTTGTAGATTTGAACCAAATCAAGGGATGGACATTTAGATCACTGCTTGTGGTTCATCCTGAAGCGTATCTTTACTATGTTGTGGTAGTCCGAAGCGTAGTGCTGGTATACATTTCTCAATGACACATCAAATAATTACGAAACGGCGGACCTTGTCCAGAATACAATACAAAAAGCCGTTTTGATGTGGTAACTTTTCTCCTACACAACAACTCTGGTCATGAGATGAGCAACAAACGAACCCTGGTAAATGAAGCACGATTCTGTAGATCAGAAGAGTTGGGAATCCACTTTGATTATCGTGAGTGGCAGACTATTGTGCTTGTTTCCTTTGTAGTAAAACTGTGCACCGTGTGTCATCAGATTAGGGTAAGTGACAGTTAGTATTTCTGCCTCCATTTCCGAACATTTCATTCAATTTGTGCATGAAAAAGTTGGAGATCATTTCCATTTTTCAGGTGATAACAAAACTGTCAGTCTTTATTTTATCACGTAAAAGGCTATATGGAATAGCTCCGTAATTTAGCCAACTTTTCTTTTCAGGTAAAAAAAGACAAACATGCCATCAGGGGAAGATTAAAAATACAAATACGAATTTGATAGCCAACTAATGAGTCAGAGTGCAAGCAGATTTAAAAATTGAAAATGGTTTCTATATTTCCAACTATTTCTACTGCATAAAATGAAACATTTTAAATATCAGAGTTAAAGTCACCACTGAATCCATGCAAACAACTAGCAGCTGTTTGATTCTCTTTGGGTATAACTGATAGTACACATCCACAGCCCGGATCCAACTGGGAGTCGAAGCTGCCCGACATGATTCTTATGCGCATGCATTGCCACAGAGCAATCCAGAGGCTGATTTCCAACAGTTCATTTTAAATAAACACAGGTGATCTTTGTGTCTCTCGGTAACTGGCTGTGCACAAAATCGACCCGTTGTTTACACTGTAGTGTTGACCGAGTTTAGCTGAACATCAGTTGTATTCAGCCTTTTTCTTTGCGACTTTCTGACTTCAGCAGTTCGGGCATTTTGCGTCGTGTACAATGAATAGACTGGATGATAACCTTGATTTAATCATTTGTCCTATGTTTTCCAGATAAAATAAATAATTTAGTTCTACCTGATCGTTTTCAGTATCAACGAAAATGGCAAGATTACTTGTCAAACTTCAAAAGGGTTCATGTGTTTTTGTTATCCTCGTATGATCTGCCTCATTTATGGTTGACAGGTAAGGCTTGGTCCCCAATAAAGGAACCCATTAAGCGAACTTGGAAAAGAAAGACAACGATTTTCCACCACCCGTGTGAATTAAACTCAGCTGACGTGTAAAATAAACTGTTTTTGGAACAAAATCTGTCCACATCTATTCAAATAGTTGTTCCAGAATGTACCAGAATGACTTAATACATTTGTTTCCAAAAACTCCAGTCAGTACTGATGGCTTTTTTACCTTGTTATTTCAAAAGATCAGTATTCATTCAACTGTATACTGCTGCATTCACTGATTGTTGCCACCTTTAATTTAGCACAGGTAAAGGGGAATTCAAATACGCAAACATGGTCTGATAAAGCTCGATTAGAAAGGAAAATATCAAACAGGCTTGTATTTGTTCATGATAAATCGGTTGGATAATATTCATAGAATATATCTATCGGGAGGAGAAGACCGGTTCGTAGAAATTGAAAAATCCACCCGTCAAATAGTTCAACACTGCGAGCGGTAATCGAACTGGGTTGCGTATCAGTTGCTATTCATATATGTAATTTCAACCCGTTGGCCTTACCTCGACCGTTTAGATGAACGTGTATCTATCCGTGGTTTGAGTCCGGTTTTAAGCCGTTGAACTTTTGGATGCTAACAAAGTAAGCGGTTTTTCCATTATATATAATTAAAATATGCATAAGTTTAGAACAAAATTTTGGTGTTCGTATGTTACTAGTCAGCGAAAACGGCATCGTAGATCTTATCATCCTCATGATCATTTGTACCGACCACCGCCAGCTTTGTGTAAACAGTGGGTATAGGATATTTTGACTCACTTTAGACCAGATGGTATTTTCGCGCGTGGGAGTCCCATCGAGATGTACGACTAATGTTTTCAGGTCAACACCAACATGACAGCAACTTAAGACCTAATGGGATGACGAATACAGAAGTGCCACATTCGTACATGCAAAGAGTGAATCATTATAGATGGCCCTCAAACTACGGAGCAAGACTCCTAAACTACAGAAAATATCGAGAAAACCTGGAGGGATCCATGATGGTTTTCAGTGACTTCCTAATTTTGAATGCTCAGATGACCGAGACAGAGAGAATGGGCGTTAGCACAAACTATCTCCAAAATCTCGGAAGCTGATAAAAACCTATTGCTTTGATCAAGATGTGATAAACATCTACCGCCCCACACTTTAGGGCAAAGCTGAAACACCTAACAAGCGTATTTTTGACACGGAAATCTTTCCGGAGTGCAAACAGTCGGCATTCTTCCTTTTGACGGATGATCTGCAAATACACGTACTCCATGTCAAACTGGTTGTAGATTTTTGCCTCTATGTAAACTAATAAATAAGAGGAATTCGACTTCCAATCAAAAACGAAGTTCATAGAACTGGGAACAAGGAGTTGCTGTCGACATTCACCAGACAGATTTGTTTTTCTTGGTAATTAACTCCTTCTCCTAAACTTTAACTGTTTACCACAACACAGTGCTGAATTATAGGATTCCATAGAACTTCATTTCAGTCACGCTGGTTCTGCTGCGATCTGCTGACCGTCGAAAATGTTTGACCTTGATCACCGTGTCAAATCAGTCTGAGGTTCAGAAGTTCGAAATTAGACGTTAAACGTAGCATATAGCTTAACAGATAAAGGAAACATTCACCATGGGTGATTTAGTCATCAAAAAACCAATGTTGATTCTACCGGAAACGTTTCTTTTCTATGAATTGTCTACTGTGTTTCTGTCTGATAGACAATAAAAATATATAGATAGTTTGGGGAGAGAGCTTTATTGCCTAACAGTTCAACAGGTGAATCACGGTGAATGGCAGACATATCATAGGAAAACGTTTGAATTATTTGGAATGCCTAACCTAAAGCTCTAGGTCGTACGAGGGTGGCCGGTCAAATGTATCCATTTTGTTTGTCGCTGCATCCAAGAAATATTTAAAAGAACCGGAAAATCCCGCTATCTTATTAGAGAAGAGAAGAATGAAATTGGGTGAGCCTATCAAGCACGTGCTCTTGCGATAAATATATAGTATATTATCTCTGAATAACATTGTTTTTTTCAACTTACTCATGTAAAACTAGGTGACACAACATGATAAGTGTTGTGCAAACATGGAGACATCCGACTTATGTAAAGATGTTAGATATATCAGGACAAACTTGTCAGAGACCCCTAAGTATTTATTCCGGAAGAAGATTTGATGAAAAATTCCCATTTCTTTCGTACTGTCCCAATAACTCTAGTGAGAACTCGGTTCTGCCTCAAAATCATTTTCCTTCTATTGGTACAGAATACGTTGTTTATAAAAGATATGCATTCTTCATAACCAAAACCATGCTTAAAAGCTTATTGGCCTAATGATAGACCTAAACGGCTCATCTGGCTGGTTTTTCTGGCTGCGTCCGGATTGGTTAGTTCGGCTCTGGTCGAATCGTAACCACTGAATGATCCTTTGATCGCCTCACTGACTCTAATCTTGTCAGCTATTCTGGTCAGCTGATCACGTGCTTTCTGCTTCACTGAACCACGCAGTCTATTACTAGCGTGCTGGGCGCGTTCCCTTACACCATTCACCTTCGTAAACAAAGTTGGAGAAAAACTATTTGCATTACCCTTCAGCTGATCGAAAGCCGAGATTGTAAGAAAGGTAAAGGTGTCTAAAAGTTCGAACACCGAAGATATCCGAACTGCATCGTAGAATGCCTTACCCTAGAGGTACTGTTCACAAACTGTGGTGTGAAGTGGGGTGCTTACGAATACATCCGTCACATAAAAAATCTCCAAAGAAACACATTTTAGTTATTTGAGACAGGAAAACTCACCGCTCCGGTTGATACGGGCTGCAAAATATCACAATCAATCTTGCTGATGATGCTTTATTCGGGACACCCTGGAGAACATACAATTCATCGTGCTCAAATTATGTTTTCCAGGGCGAAATTATTTAGGTAAAACTGTTGTACTGTAGAAAGACGCATCAGATGGTGTTCCACATGAGACTGTACATCTTATAGAGGCGCAGAGACCTATTCATAGGTAGCAAGGCTACTGAAGAATTCAAAGATATATATTTCACAATTCCCCGCTACAAACCACGAGTTGAATAAGATAATTAATTTATTTCTCGTGTGTAAAAGAATAATAATAGTAAGTTTCTCAAGTAACCTAGAACTTTGTGCAATTTTACAACCTTGTATTTTAGATTATTTCGAAGACCCTTGTGTCCAAGGAATCTCGACAATACCTGTAAGTCCAGAGACACTTTTGGATGCGGACTAATTATCTCTGAGGTTTTCAACGAAATTTCAGGCATGGTGTGTACACAGGTTTTGACTGTTAGTGGAAAAACGGAGATAGGAAATATATTTTATTAAAAATACGACGAGACGCTCGTCGAAGAGGATATCAGAACACGTTTCGGCTTCTTTATGCAAGGGTACAGTCCGGACTATCAATAGCGCAATCCTACAACATCTGGTGGATAGCGGACACCAAATCGACACGGTGACAGCTTTTAGACCAGTCCTGACAACTCCCAGGGTTCACGCGAAAGGATTACGCAGGCGGTTGCTGATGACGTCAGAAGCCATAGCAATTCGACTATTGAAGCCGGATTTGCGTAAGCAACGTGACCTCGTGCAACAGTTTTTGTTGCCGTGGCCGTAACAAGTGATTCTCTTATGGTTCCATTGTACGAATTCTCCCCAGACCCACACCTATTTTTTCACACCTTTGTTTTTCACACCTGCCTTTTCACGCCATTTGGTTAAACATTTCACACTTATTGTCGTTCACACAACGAACAAGATTCATCAAGTTGAAGCATGTTGTCGAGTTACCGGATTTGTTGCACATTTACTCATTCTCTGCTATCTTTAGCTGCACATATACCCTCTTTTACCCAGTACTATATATGTCAATGCCTGGAGTGATATATCGAAAAAAAATTTCTTCGTGTTACAAGTTTTTTCATAAAATTTATTCTCAAGCCGTGATAATTTACAGATGTATTCTTGGTTTAGGACCACAAGGTGACTCTTCCAGAGGTAGTTTTTCGGTTAACAAGGCTGACCATCGGAACGAGAACACAAGTAAGGATTCTCCATGTGAGTAGTTTGGCGTTGTACCTGAATGTACACTCCATTCGATTCAACTGAGGCTGCAGCTGTAAACCAACGGTGGAGTTCTCAAACACAGGGATGACAGGTCAAAAGTGTACGAGGTATACATATCTGATGAGCGACAACAACCGAGATGTCAATCGAGTGTTTCCGGCGAAATTTTGTCCTTTCATCCAGATATAATGCCATGCGACACACATCGAAAATGATAATTTACTTTTTTGAGTTTGAATACAATGGAAATTCCACAATTTTTTCCCCGTTTTCAGGTGCAGTTGTTTAGTAATAAATAACAAACGTAAAATACGGTTATTAACAAAAACCTTTCGCGTTGCTTTTTAACAACGGAAAAAAAGAACATTTCGAACCCTTCATTGGGAGCTGATATTAAATATGCGTATTTGTGGGGTTAGTAAACTACTGTAACATAGTATAGTTATCCAAAAAGATGAACAGTGCAGATGTAAAATTTCTAGTTGGAAGACGAGGTGTCTAGGATTTCCACAATCACCCACAACATAACGACGGAGATCTCTTCCAGTCCAGCTAGAATCCCACTCGATTATTTTCACAGACACTAATGATAACTCAGCCCGTTTGTTCGTTATGTAATCGCCTATCATCGTCTGTATCCTAAAGTCCCGTAAGCAGCTTTCTGTTCCATGTTCAAATCAGTCTCAACAAATTTTTCTCACGCGATGCCGTCAACCACAACTGCAAATCTGATGTTACAACAAACCCCCAGTTGGTCTGCCCCTGATGGACAGAAATGACCGATTTCATTGACATCCGATTAAGCTACCTGAATTATACTGTCTCCGCTGTTAGCTATCTTCTGAAATATAAAACGTCAGATAAGTTCTCTTGGTTGTCCTCCGTAGAAGGTATACCAAGAATTCACAAAGGGTTTCCAGAGACAAACAATTGTTTCAATGATTCATTCTCAAGTCTTTACAAATCATATAGGAGATGGTTGAGCTGAAATGGTCAAGGGTCATTCGGATTGGACGTAGTTTGTGGGGGGGATGGGTTGGGGTTAGATCGACGTGTCGATCCGCACGACTAGGTTGTGACGGTCACATGGTTTGGAGCTGAGTGACTGGGGTGGGGGTGGTCCACTTGCGGCCAGGGTAATTGGAAGGCTTGGACGAACTACTTGTTCTGTGTACACAGAGCAGGTGCGAAAAGACGGGTGCTAATCGCCTCTGCGGTGGCCAGTGTGTGTGAGCGGGTGTTTGTGGGGATTCGGGGGCACTCGATAGACGATTTTAAATGCTGAATCTGTGCTTATTTGACGACCTGAATCTACCAGATGCTTGAAAATGGCACTCCTTATGGTTCCTGTTCCTCCATGTTGCAGCCATCGTGGACAGTGTTCCTTAATTCTTTGGGATAGTTGCCTTGCCGTTCGGCCAATGTAGGTTGCATTACATTTGCACCTGAACAAATAGATTACCATTGAGTTGGCCAGCATTGGAAACACATCCTTATTAGAATTTCGGATAATCGGAGGGCTTGCGAATACACAGGCAACACGAGCTGAGTTGAATGTCCCACTCACCGCACGTGTTAAACGTCTGTTGACAAGGTCCGATATGGCGTCTCTTTTGAATGGCATACGGATAAATAGTTTATTATTGGGGACGTCATAACTTGGAGCACATTTGGGTCTATCTCTCAGCTTTTGTTCTATAAAGCGCTCAGGGTAACCGTTTTCCCTGAGTGTTTATAACTGAATGCAGTTCTTCTTCTATGGTCTCCTGTGAGCATAACTTTCTTACTCGCGAGGCTAAGCATTGGACTAGGTTTCTTTTATGTCGTACGGGTACAAAACTCAGAAAGTTGCTGTACTGTTCAGCGCATGTTTGTTTTCTATGTATCCTTCTTTCGACAACTGTTTCTCTCTGAAAACCTGTTCTGATGTCAGAATGTGCATATTCCGGAATCTAAAGCATAACAAGGAGCGAAGCATGGTGAAAGATCTGCATAAGTTCCTCAATTTCTCCACGAGCCTTGCCGAGGCAAATGTATTCATTCAGTTCATCGACAGTTGTGTAGAAAGTAATATATTCCCAAAACAATACTGGAAAATTTTACGTCGTAACCGAATTTATCCCAACTCCAAAACGCTTCATAGACATGCACTGAGCCAACGCGACACAATGTGTTCCAAACTACCAGAATATGAAAGAAATCTGTTTCAGCGGCAAGCTGCCGTTGATAACTTACCTCAGGGGGAACGTGAAGAATTCTTGGATTATACGCGCTCGGTAACAGACACCAGGTGTCAAAAAACACTGAAGAAGCTTCAGCACAGCTTAACGGCAACTAAAAAGCAGTCAAATTTTCCCACACAACCTGAACGTTATGTGCGCAATTTATCGAACTTGGAAGTGAGTCCCATCCTCACCGAAGCGTGTTTCCAATGCTGGCCAACTCAATGGTAATCTATTTGTTCAGGTGCAAATGTAATGCAACCTACATTGGCCGAACGGCAAGGCAACTATCCCAAAGAATTAAGGAACACTGTCCACGATGGCTGCAACATGGAGGAACAGGAACCATAAGGAGTGCCATTTTCAAGCATCTGGTAGATTCAGGTCGTCAAATAAGCACAGATTCAGCATTTAAAATCGTCTATCGAGTGCCCCCGAATCCCCACAAACACCCGCTCACACACACTGGCCACCGCAGAGGCGATTAGCACCCGTCTTTTCGCACCTGCTCTGTGTACACAGAACAAGTAGTTCGTCCAAGCCTTCCAATTACCCTGGCCGCAAGTGGACCACCCCCACCCCAGTCACTCAGCTCCAAACCATGTGACCGTCACAACCTAGTCGTGCGGATCGACACGTCGATCTAACCCCAACCCATCCCCCCCACAAACTACGTCCAATCCGAATGACCCTTGACCACTTCAGCTCAACCATCTCCTATATGATTTGTAAAG